CCCAACAGACAGCCATCCACTCGACCACTTAATCAAGCCTCTACCTGCCCACTATATACAATCACCACAAGGTGTGGAAAGACCTCCACCATTTACCAGCAGGCCTACTTACCTTTTTTAAGTCTCAATTCCTTCATCTGGAAAGTGGGTATGCATATGTTCATAAGAATCTTCACAGGCTTGTTAAGAGCAATAAATAATAAAATCCACGTAAATTATTATGTGTTATAAGAATTATTAATATATGTTACATTGTTATTTTTATTGCAATTATTATGAGAAGCTAGAAATTGAGTGCAGAAATAAATGTGGTGAGAGGCCTAGCTTGTCTGCTAAGATGTTGACTCTGACTGATGGTCTGAAAAACCAGTTCATCCTGTAGTTAACAGCAGGGGAGGTGGACAGAGGTGTGATGGGAATATGGTGGTAGGGGCGTGTGGTGTTGGGAGAGCAGCAGATTTGGCCTGAAGAAAATGGATAAATAGACGTGGGGTAATTAACAATTGGAGGACCCCTGGTGGTGCAGTAGTTAGAGAGTTCAGCTGCTAACCAAAAGATTGGCAGTTTGAACCCTCCAGCCACTCCACAGGAGAAAGATGTGGCACTCTGCTTTCTGAAAGCTTTATACTTTTAGAAATCCTAGGGGACAGTTTGGGAGCTCTGGTAGCATAGTGCCTAAGGCACTTGACTGCTAATCAGAAGGCTGGCGGTTCAAACCCACCAGCCACTCCTCGGAAGGAAGGTTGGGCAATCCTACTTCCGAAGTGATACTGCCTCGGAAACCCAAGGAGGGGTCACTATGAGTCAGGCCGACTCGATGGCAAACAACAACAACAAGGGGACAGTTTTACTCTGTCCTACAGGGTTGCTATGAGCCAGAATCAACTCCATAGCAGTGGGTTTGGTTGGTTTGATTAAGTAATTAACAAATCACTACAGTGGCAGTGATTAAGGCATTCACATGCAGGCTTTGTCTGTGAATTTAGGAACTGTGGTGGACTGAGTTCTTGACGCTTGCTGAGGGACCATAGAATTCCAAGGCCAGGAAGGTTATAAATGCAAGCAGGCCTCTGTGCTCACCTTCATGCATCATCTCCCCTGGGGGCAGAAGTCCATGTTTTTGGAGTAGAACTCTGCACTCAGTAGCCAGGGGTTAAAATCCCAGCTCTCTTATTTATTAGCCATATGACCTTAGACAAGTTACTTAAGTGCCTCAGACATCTCATCTACACAACGGCGTTGAACAGTGAGGGTTAACAATTTACTCATGTAAAACATTTGAAACTGGGTCTAATACATCTCTACAGCGGGTAATGACTTCTGAGCATGGAGGTTGAGCTCTGTTCTCTTCTCTTAACCACCCAGGCTCTAGAAGTACATGTTCAACAGAGCCTTCGATCACATCCAACCTTCTGTCACAAAGGCATCTGCCAGGCTGGGCATCTCATACCTTCTGTATATTAGTTTTCTATTGTTATGTAATGAATTACCACAAATGTAGATGTTTAAAGCAACACAAATTTATTATTTCACTATTCTATAAAGCCAAGTAGACTTGGCTGACTCCTCTGCTCCAGGTCTCACAAGGCCAAAATCAAGGTGTTCGTCTCTAACAACTCAGGTTGTTAGAGAATCCAGTTGTATGCAGCTGTAGAAATGGTCCCCATTTCCTTGCTAGCTATCGGCTGAAGTCATTCCAAGCTTCTAGAGGCCTTCCACATTTCTTGACTCATTGTTGTTGTTGTTGTTATTTGCCGTGGAGTCAGCCCTGACTCATAGCGACCCCTCCTTGGGTTTCCGAGGCAGTATCACTACAGAAGTAGGATTGCCCAACCTTCCTTCCGAGGAGTGGCTCATAGCGTCCTTCAAATCCAGCAATGGTGGCTTGAGTCCTTTGAATCTCTCTGACCTCTCCTTCTTCCTCATCACTCTATGACTTCCCCTTCAGCCACATCTCTGACTGAGTCTTCACCTTCCTCTTCTGATTTTAAGGGCTCATATGACTACATTAGGGAACATTAATGTGCTCAGCTGCTAACCTAAATGTCAGTGGTTCAAACCTATCACACCTTCCACAAGAGAAAAATGTGGCAATCTGCTTCAGTAAAGATTAAGGCCTTATAAACCGTATGGGGCAGTTCTACTTTGGCCTACAGTCGCTATCAGTCAGAATCAACTCTACAGCAGTGGGTTTTGTTTGGGTTTGGGGTGTTTACATTAAGGAGTCAGGTGGTGGAGTGATTGAGTGCTCAGTTGCTAACAGAAAGGTCAGTAGTTCAAATCTACCACCTGTTCCACAGGAGAAAGATGTGATAGTCAGCTTCTGTAAAGATTATAGCCATGGAAACCCTACGGGGCAGTTCTATTCTGTCCTATAGGGATACCATGAGTCAGAATCAAGTGCCAATGATGGCAATGGGTTTGGCTTGGTTTTCTGGTGATTACATTGGACCCCTCAGATAACCCAAGGTTATCTTATTTTAAAGTCATCTGTTTCAAAATCTTACTTCCATCTGCAAAATGCTTTCACACCAGTACCTGGATTTGTGTTTGACTAAATAACGAGGGGACAGGAATCTTAAGAGTTCTTCCCTCTATATCTGGCACAACCTGGGTTCTGCTGCCAGCACCAGTCCTCAGTCTCTCCCCTGTGGAAGCACCAAAGCCCAGAACTATGGAGAAGAAACCCTCAAGGAGTAATGTCCAGTTGGAGCCAAAGGGGTATAAACAAACTCACCACCATGAGTGTAAGTGGCAAAGAGCAGAGAGCACAAGACCGAACTTTGGAGAAGCCTACATTTGGGGTGAAATCACTATTACAGCACCATTGGAGGTGGGCATTTATCTATAACTGTATTTAAACCTTCTGGTTGTGTTTAAATACAGTTATAGGTAAAATGTCCATCTCCAAGGGCATTGTAATAGTGATTTATTTAGCTATATTTAACTACTCTGGAAGGCGGGGACACTTACCCCCATTTTAAATGAGGAAATTGAGACCCAAAAGGGGCAAGACACACTTGCCCCTTGCCCAGGTCACACAGTGGATCTGTGGCAGGACTTGAACCAGACATGGTCTCCTACTGACCAGATCAGCGCCCTCCCCACCTCACCAGCCCATCTCAGGCCCTCTGGAATGAGCCATGAAAGAGATCACTGGATCTAGCACAGGGGGCCAAGTCAGGGGTCTGAGGTCTAATAGTCAATGCCTTTAGTCCTGCTGCTCTCAAGGCAACTGAGATGAGCAGAGAAAAGTGACAGTAGAGTGTCTGAAGTGTAAGACACTTGGAAAAGGAGAAAACATTTATCCCACAGCCAGTGATTTACTTTCCAAATAACAGCCACGCAGAGTCTTTTCTGAGACATGAGCTTCAAAGACAGATGAAATGGTCATATGCAGAGGGGCACCCAAACAGGGGCAGTTTCATAAACTGACAAAGATCTGCTTGATTCTAAAATAGTATCGGCTGGAGCCAACTTCTGGTTCCTGGGCAGATCCAGCACCCACAGGCTGCACTGCATGCACAAGAGAATACACAGAGGATCTTTAAGTGCAGATTCCTGAACCCTACCCACACTCACTGAGGAAGCCTGGTGGCGCAGTGGTTAAGTGTTCGGCTGCTAAATGGAAAGGTGGGTTTCCAGTTCGAACCCACCATGCAGCTTCAGTAAAGACTGCTGTCAAGAAAACCCTATTGCATGGACTGCTATGAGTCAGAATCAACTCCAACAGCACCACTCAGACCCTCTAGGTCAAATCCCAAGAGAGCACTCCAGGAATCTATTCCCCTAGATGCCTTCAAGACAGACCCTGGGCTGAGAAATTCTGCGAAGGAAAAACACAGGTCTGAAGGAGGCCTTGAGAGAGGTCAGGATTCTGACCTGAATGCCTTGGGTCTGCTGTGACCACACCAAGATGCCTGGGGCTGCAATAAAGCAGAACAAGTACTGGAGTAGGTCAAATCTGAGTTCAGACCCCCTCCTCACATTTACTGAGAAAGTTACCATTAACTCTTGAAGCCTCAGTTTCCCCACCTGTAAAAGGGGGTACAACAGCACACCACCTTGCAGGGCGATAATGTATGTAAAGGACCCAGCCCCACCACTGGGGACTCAAATGCAGTCACAGAATATTTTTTTTTCCTTCATTTGAAATGTTGTTTTTCTCACACTCAGACCCTATCATCTCACCTTTCTCCTTTCTTTAGATCTGCAAAATAGAGAAAATGGTCCTGGAGGTGCTAGTGTAGCTTAACAGAAAGACTAAAATGCCTGTTGGGGTGGGGGTAGGGCGGACAACTCAAACTTGAGCATTCTAGTTTCTCTAGCTGTAATTCATCCCAAAGCAGAAGGGACTACCAGGGGAAGGAGTTAGTGGGGACAGGGAGATAGGGGTTCCAGGGATAGAGACAGGGAGTGAGACTGGGGTTCTGGGCATGGAGACAGGCAAGGAGATGGAGGGTCCAGCGGTGAGAGCAGACAGGAAGAGGGGTCTCTGGGGATAAGAAGAGGCAAGAAGATGAGGGATCTGGAAGTGGGGGCAGGCAGGGACTCCGGGGCTCCGAGGGTAGATACAAGCAGGGAGTGGTCAGGCTGCGACTTCCTCCCTCTCCACCCTCCTCTGTCAGGACCAGCCAGTGGCAGCAGAGCTGGGACTCCCCCAGACTCGGGGGACCCAAACGTCTTCTTCCTTCCAGAGTAGGAGAAGGGGAGTGCTGTGACCAGGGCAGCAAGAACACCGTTGGGAAGGTGGCAAGGAGGAGGCGGCACAGACAAGGCGGGTCCGAGTTGCTGCCCTTCAAACGACCCGAAGTCTTGTCCTGTGATGCTAGGGCCCTGGGGCGAGCGGTCTAGGACGCTGGGCGGTTCGATGCCAGACGGCCGCCCCGCCCCGCCGTCTCGCCCCGCCTCCTGCCTCCTGACCCGGGTTGCTACTTTGGACCGACCCCTCCGCCCGCGCTCCGAGCCAGTGCACCTCTCGAGCTACAGCGGCAGCCGCGATGTGGGCTGTCCTGCCCGTTCTCTGCGCTGGGGCTTGGCTCCTGGGGACTCCCGCCTGCGACGCCGCCGCCTTGTCCGTGAGTGCCTACGGTACGGAAAGGGGGGTTCAGAGCCGCTGGCCGAGCTCCTGGGAAGCTTCGGAAAAGGGTCCGCGCAGGTCCGAGGCTCGAGACTCCGGATAACTTGGGGGAGATGGGGGCACTGAGCTTGGGAGGGACGGGGGCAGGGCGTGTCCCAGTCCGAGGCAAGGGCTCAGCGGATTAGAATGGGAAGGGGTTTCATGCCGGGAGACTGGAGGGCGGGTGTCTTGCAGGCCAGAGGCGGTAGGCTGGGTTTCTAGTGTTCCACTTGCCCAGGTGCCTCCAGAGCCTAGAATACCAAAGAAGCCCGCGCCCTTTTTGTCTCCCAATTTGTGACATAGAGGACCTTAATCTGTTCTCACCAGAGGCGAGCAGGGACTTTCCAGACTGTTATTTTTTATCAGCATCCCTGGGGACTTAGCACATAGAGGATCCCCCTTAAGTCCCTTTGAGAGTTCATCTGTGAGTAAGTTCCACGCCCTGTTTGGAGGAGTGACTCCTGTTGGCCTGGAAAGCTGTTAGACCAACAGCCCCGGACAACTGAGTGTGCTCCAAGGACCCCTAGTGTCAGGAAAGCCACAGGACTCCCCCACCCAGGCCAATAGGCTGTGACTGGTCCAGCTTCTTATTGTGCTTGCTTGCACCCTCTGCTGTGCTGGGCTTCCAAAAGCTCCCCAGGATGGAGGCCAAGAGCCTACTTTTCCAGCCTCCCTCCTTCCCTGTTGCCCCAGCCCCAGCCCATAACCCACAACCCATAGGCTCTGAGCTTTCAAAGCCCACCTCCCTCACCCTGGGGACAGAGAAGGAACAGCCTGGGGCTGGGGCAAAAGTCAGGGGCTGAATTTTTACTAGCCTCATCCCTCCCACCCTTATGAAATAAAGCCTCCAATCAAGCCTTGAAGCCACAAAAGACTTCCACTCTAGGTCAGCCCAACTAGTTGCTGTCTAGTTGATTCCATCTCATGGCTACTCCATGTGTATCACAGTAGAACTGTGCTCTGTAGGGTTTTCATGGCTGTGACCTTTTGGAAACAGATCACCAGGCTTTTCTTCCAATGTACCTCTGAGTGGGTTCAAACCATGGTTAGTAGCCCAGCAAAGCACAACTTAGCTGTACCCAAGCAAGAGCTTTGCTTTACTCTGACAGTGCTGCTGGCATCAAGAAAAGCTGGAGCTGAAAAGTTGCCTTAACTTTAAAAAAAAAAAAAAAAAAATCACCGCCGTCAAGTCGATTCTGACTCATACCGACCCCCATTGGGTTTGCAAGGTGGTAAATCTTTACCAAAGTAGATTGTCCGGTCTTCCTTTCACAGAGTGGCTGATGGGTTTGAACCACCAACCTTCTGGTTAGCGGACAAATGTCTTAGGCACTGCACCATCAGAGCTCCTTAACTTTACAGTACCAAAAAAAAAAAAAAATCAAACTCACTGCCATCTAGTCAGTTCCTTCTCATAGTAACCCCCACTGGGTTTCCAAGGCTGTAAATCTTTACTGACACAGACTGCCTCATCTTTCTTCCATGGAATGACTCGTGGGTTCAAACCACCAACCTTTTGGTTAGCAACCAAATGCCTTAACTACTACATCTCCAGAGCTTCTTGAACTCTAAGGTAGGGGTCAGCAGTCCTTTTCTATAAAAGGCCAAATGGTAAATATTTTAAGCTTTGTGGGCCATACAGACTGTGACAGCTACTCAACTCTGTATCAGGAAGTAACCATAGATGGTATGTAAAGGAATGTATGGTTATATGCCATTAAACATTTATTTATGAACACTGAAATTTGAAATTCATTTCATTTTCATGTGTCACAAGATATTCTTCTTTTGATTTCACCCCCACCCCACCCCAACTATTTAAAAGTGTAAAAGCCATTCTTAGTTCTCAGGCTATGGTTTGCTGACCCCTGCTCCAGAGGTGTAGCAAGGGGAGGCAGAAGGGGGCGCTTGTCCCCAGGCGCAAATCCACAGGGACACCAGATGAAGCACAGAATGACATTCTGAGGCATCAGAAATATGAAAGGCACCTGACCAAAATGAATGCTAAATCCTGTCGCATTTAAGCAATAGGTAATATTCACCCATGAATACATTTATCTCATTAAGAGATGTGTTTCCAATGCAATTTTACTTTTTATGCCTACTAATTATTTTCCATAAGGAAATCTGGTACCGCAGTGCCTAAGGCATTTGACTGCTAACCAGAAGGTTGGCAGTTCAAACTCACCAGGCGCTCTGCAGAAGAAAGATGAAGCTATCTACTTTTGTAAAGATTTATTGCCTTGGAAACCCAGTGGGGGTCACTATGGTCAGAATTGACTCAATGGCAATGGGTTTGGTTTTTTTTTTTTTTTTTTTTTTGGTTGATTATTTTTTATAATATATATATATTTTGAAAAAAGATAAACTCATTGCTGTCGAATTGATTCTGACTCAGTGACCTTATCGGACAAAGTAGAACTGTCCCCACAGGGTTTTCAAGGTTGTCATCTTTACAGAAGCAGATTGCCTCATCTTTCTCCCACAAAGCAGCTGGTGGGCTCAAACTGCCAACCTTTAGGTTAGCAGTCAAGCACTTAACTGTTGTACCACCAGGCTTCCTGTTATACTATATAGTATATTTTAAATATCTTGGTCTATTGATATTATCATTATGATTGCTCAAGTCAGAAAAACTTTTTTCTGGTAATATACAGAAACTTAATAGGTCACAAAAAATAAAAATAATCTAAATTTAGACGTTTTGCTGTTGCTGTTGTAGAAAAGTATATTAGGGAGATCTAGTGTAAAATATATACTCCTTTCAGATAAAATTCTGTGAGGTGAGGGTGAAGTTCGAGTTCAAGGAGAAAAAGAAACAATGTAAAATATCCAACATTTAATGAAGAAGATGTTTATGTTTGGTGGTGGTTACCAAATCATGAGAACATTTAGATTCCATTGGCTAGCTTTTGTGTGTGTCTGTCTAGTATGTAGGTAACAAAACATTTGCCCTTTCTACAGTCCGTTGGCTACCTTTAATAAAATGATGTAACAGTCTTATTTTTAAATGTATTATTGTCAGTTGTATATATTGTGAATATTTGCAATAAGCTGGAATGCATTGTTTATAGGTATTTAAATATAAAGTGAAAATTTTAGATAACTGAAAACTATATCAGGGGCTGCAAACGCCCAGTCACCCTGTATTTTTTAAATAGCATTTTCTTGGAACACAGTCACACTGTTTGTTTTCTGCATTGTCTGTGACTGCTTTCGCACTACAGTGGCAAGCTGAATGCTTATGACAGAAACTGAATGAGCTGTAAAACCTGAAAGATTTACTGTCCTTTTAAGAAAAAAGTTTGCTTACTTCTGGGGTAGATAGATTTATTAATATCTTATTGAAATACAACATCATACAGAAAAATGTTCAAATCATAAGCATGCATTTCGATGAACTTTCACAATCTAAACACACTCCCATAACCAGTGCCCAGATGAAGAAATAGAACATTGCCAGCACCCCAGGAGACCCCTCTTTGGCATCATTAAGGATAACTGCTGCCCTGATTTATAATACCATAGGTTAATTTTATTTAAAAAAAAAAAAAAAAGTTGTTGTGAGATGATCGTAACTAATGGTGACCCCATGTGTGTCGGAGTAGAACTGGGATCCATAGGTTGTCAGTGGCTGGTTTTTCAGAAGTAGATTGCCAGGTCTTTCTTCCAAGGCACCTCTGGGTGGACTCAAACCACCAACCTTTTGGTTAGCAGCCTAGTGTGTTAACTGTGCCAACCAGAAACTCTGAATGGTATATTGTTTTTCACAATTAATTTGGGGTATAACGGCTATTACATTGTGAGAACTGCAATCAGTGACATGAATCAAAATGTGTATGAACTATTGAATGGAAAATGAATTTGCCCTGTAAACTTTCACCCACATCACAACTAAAATTTAAAGTAATAATAATAATAATTGGGGATATAAAAGAAAGAGTGTGAGTTCATTTTTGTAAACAACAGTGAACAGCCCCACCGTTTTTGGTGTGCTGAATTTAGCTGGGTTACGCAAAATGCAAATCAGGTCTGAAGTGCCCTATTTCCCTATAGACTTTACTGGCAGTTGCACAACCTAATTATTGTTTCATCTTCTTGCAGAGAAGTTTCATTTTAAATCATGGATGGAGAAGGTCAGTTCCAACTTCCTTTTGAAGTTTTACATTTCACAAGTTTCCTGTTATCAAATTTAACTAGATTTGAGTAAGTAAAGGGATTTTTCTACCTCACTCCCCTGGGTCTTTTGGCCCTGGGAATTGACCAAACACTGGGAAAGAAATGAACTCTTCCCAAACATTATTCCCAGTGACATATATGAAAGTTGGCTGGCAGTCTTTCAAACGTTGGAATTTGTTTCCTTATTTTGTTTTCAAATCACATTGTGTGCTGGTTGCAAGTTAGATTAGAGTTCACTAATACCTGCACTTCCGAAAAATGGTGTGATTTTTGCCATACACTTGGCCCGAGAGCTGGGCACTTGGCAAGTCCCTTCACCAGGGCCCCTCAGACTGTCACCTGACTTCCAGGCAGCCACAGGCCACAGGTCCCTAGAGGCAGAAGCTTGTTTTGCCCTTAACAGCAGAGACCAGGACCTTGTCCCACCCAGTCACACAGACATGGCCTGAGATCATGGCAGAAAGAAAATCCCCATTCCTCCTCTTATAAACCAGAAAAGCCTCCCTTTGTGAGCTGCATCCTGTTTCTGTGACTTATTGCTGATGTGTTCTGTTTTAGCACCAAAAGAAATACAGCTCAGAAGAGTACCACAAAAGGCAACAGACCTTTGTCAGCAACTGGAGGAAGATAAATGCCCACAACGCTAAGAACCACACATTCAAAAGTACTGGTGCCTTTCCTCCAGGCTTCTTGGGACCTTGGGAGGAGGGAGCAGCTCAGATCTGGAAAGAAATCAGTTGATTAAAGGGTCCACTGGGGGCTTTTGGGTAGGGGGTGGGCAGAAACCCAGGCTCTGCAGCTGTAATCGTCTGACCTTAAATTCTGGCTGTTACTGTTTGATGTGTAACACTGGATTGTCAATGTGGGTCAACACTGATACACTTCCTGGTGCTTGTAAGGTTTACAAAACTATAGAAACCTCTGCCCTGTTCCTGTCATTTAAGGGTAGAGCCTACATGCTGGGTTCTGCCCTTGGGCTGCTGAGTTCATGAGCAGCTTAGGTTCCCTTCACTAGAAAAACACACACACCCCTCCAAAATTTTCACTGAGAACTCTGAGAAATGGTGGCAGTGGCACCTAAGTTGGTAATATGGACCACAAGCATAAACTGGGAAGAAACCTGGGTTTGAATTTCGTTTCTGCCCATGTTAGCTGTCTGACCTAGTTGTTGCTGTGTGCCATGGAGTCAATTCCAACTCATAGCAAACCCTAATTGATAAAGCAGAATGCCCCACTAGGAGCAGTTTTCTGGGCTGTAATCTTTACAGGATCAGATCATCAGGTCTTTTCTCCTGTGGAATGGCTAATGGGTTCAAACTGCCAACCTTTTGGTTAGCAGTTGAGTGCTTAACCCCTGTGCCACCAGGGCTTCTTTCTGTGATCTTAGGGTAGTTATTACACCTGAAGTTTTCCTCAGCTGTAAAGTGGAGAAGATAATGCTCCTTTCACTGAGTTGTTATGAAGACTCAATGGGGTAACAGGTGGGAAAGCACTTGGCACAGGCATAGTGGTTCCCCACTTGAATGTTCATTAGACTCACCAGCAGGGCTTCTGAAAACATGGGTGCCCAAGTCCCACCTCAGACTCTGTCACACCTGTAGGGTGCAGCCCAGACACCTCTACTGTTTAAAAACTCCCCAGACAATGCTGATGCACAGTAAGTGTTACCAGCTACCTAATTAATCTGGAATTATAGGACCTTGGCATATTTAAAAAAATTAATGGAGCCAACTTGCAGCAATTCAAAGAGGACATGGGTGAACATGTGGTGGCTAGTGATGCACTAAGCTCAACTAACTAATTATAAACCCTGGTTGGGGTTTTTATTCTCTTCAGTGGCACTGAACCAATTTTCAGACATGACCTTTGCTGAAATAAAACGAAAATACCTTTGGTCAGAGCCTCAGGTAGGTGTTGTCCACTGTCATCAAATCTGAATCTTTTCACTCAAACCTTTGGAATAAGTTTGCTCTAACCTCCAGCCAGATCCAGTTCCATCTCTCTTCCCTGATCTCTGCTTGCTAGCTTGAGTTTAATCTCTTTTATATCTCAAAAGAGATTGATTCAAGACACACCCTACACTAATCCTCCTACAATAACATGACCAATACAACCCATTCCCAAATAGAATTATAACCACAGGCATAGAGGTTGGGAGTTACAACACATATTTTGGGGAGACAGAGTTCAGTCCATAGCAAGCAGTACCAGAAGACTGAGACACTGGGTATCTGCATTTTATCTGCTAAATCTTTCTACCCTAACTTCCCTGATCGGGGCTTTCCAGGGGACAGATCATTCAACATCTGGGACTAGTACGGGGTGGTTCTGATACCTGCAATCTTTGTCATTCTCTTTCTTGATGACTATTTTTTTTTTTTTTACTTTACTTTTTGTTGCTGTTCCTGATTGGTAATTCCATTTTAATTACATGTTTTTTACTTTTTGTCAAAAATGTTTGTTTGTTTTCCCTGAAAAGACATATTTGGTTGTTTCAGAATTGCTCAGCCACCAAAAGTAACTACCTTCGGGGGACTGGTCCCTACCCACCGTCTGTGGACTGGCGGGAAAAGGGACATTTTGTCACACCAGTGAAAAATCAGGTATGTGTAGCCATCTCCACCCTTCCCCCCAAAATAGCCATATTCTCAGACAAAATACCAGAAAGGAAAACTCAAAAGAAACACAACCACCTGAAGCATATCCCCAACTGTATTTTCCTCCTCCTGTCACCAGCCTTCTTATCTTTATTGGGCTAAAGTTCACCACCCCTCAATTCTCATTGCAGTCTCAACATTATGTTCCCTGTACCCTTCAGAGCTCTGGTAGCATAGCGGCTAAGTCACTTGCCTGCTAACCAGACGGCTGGCGGTTCAAACCCACCAGCCACTCCTCGGAAGGAAGGTTGGGCAATCCTACTTCCGTAGTGATACTGCCTCGGAAACCCAAGGAGGGGTCGCTATGAGTCGGGGCCGACTCGACGGCACAAAACAACAACAACAACAACCCTTCAGAAATTGGACATCAGGGCACATCCCTACCACGCATGTGTCTCCCCACTGCCACCATGACCACTGTTGTGCTCCATCTACTCCCCAGGGCACCAAAGCCTCCGGGGAAGAGCACTCCCTTCACAGTGGAGTTGACATGGGGAGTGACGGTGTTTCCTTGCTTACTCTTGAGAACTGAGGACTTGTTCCCTTGTTGGAGGGTTCCAGCAAGTTCAGAAGACTCATGGCCCTCCTTCCTGCTGTCTCCTCTGGAAGTGGCCTCCTTCAGAAAGATGCTGACCTCTCAGTTCCAGAAAGCAAACGGTTAACATTTCCCTCCTAGAAACACTTGCTTTTCACAGAAACTCACCCAGAGGAATCTTTCTTTACTTTCCTGAAAGTCACGTGACACAGTTTCAGATCCTCCAAGCTCACTGTGTTCACAGAGTCTGCCAAATTTTCTAGACATTTAACTCCTGGAACCAAAACGAATGTCCACTCCCAGCTGTAGATGTGGTAGAAAGAAGTCAGTTTTTGGACCATCTGAGAATCACATGACAATCCAAGGCAACAAACATTAAGTGTGGACATTTAAACCTGGTCAATATTAGGCCAGTGGGAAGAGGAAGCCTGTCAGGGATTTTCCACGTCCTCATCTTAACTATTGCTGGGCCATCTGACAGGACCTGAGCTAAGGGGGTGGGAATGAGTTGGCTAATCTCCTAGTCTGTCGCCACTGTGGTTGTAGATGGCAATGAGAGTAACTGACATTATTAGCTCAGCAGCCCTTTGTGGGTTCCTCACTTTACAGAAGAGGAAACTGAGAGGGAAGGTGGCTTTGGCCAAAGTCCAAAGCAAGCAAGTAACTGGGAACTCAAAACCAGGTCTCCCTGATAAGCTTAGTATATCTTATAATCTATTATATTTCATACCAGAAGGGTCAGAAAATAATATGCAGACTTTCATGGACTGCCTGCTGATTAAATAAATACTAACATTTTGCCATATGTGATTCACATTTTTTAAAAAAAATGAAATAAAACATTAGAGGTTAAAAAATAAGTCTCTGCTCCAAGCCTGTGCCCAAGGCTCAGCCTGCTCTGCCTCCCTCAGTAATATATGGTCACAACTGTCGAGGCCAGGACCACCACCTTGACAGTCTTGGAAAACTTGTGACCAAGGTCTTCCTCAGCAGGGAAAGATTCGAGGGGAAGACACAGGAAGGAGAAGCCAAGGTGAAGGGCCTAGTTTAGAGAGACTAAACTAGGGCAATGAAATGAACAGGAAGGGGGCAGATTTAAAAGCCATTTCAGAGGTAGAGTGTGGAGGATTGAGCCAGTGAAGGGAGACAAAGATGTGGCTTTTAAGGTTGAAGACCTGAGAGAAAAATAATCCCAACTAACGTTATTGAGCCCACTAAGCTAACTGCTTGAAAGGCATGAGCTTATCTGATTCTCCTAACTGCCCCCTAGGGTAAGCTCTGTTGTCATTCCACTTTTACAAATGATGAAACTGGGGTTTAGAGAGGCCCCATTAACACAGTTGGCATGTGGCGGAGCTATGATTTGAACCAGGCAGTCAGGCTCCTACCCCAATTCCTAACCCTCAGGTTGTCTGGAGGTGCCCTGAGTCAGGAGGCTGGGCAGTGGCAGTAACTGTGGCAGAAGATTGTGAGATGGATGGATGGGGTAGACCAGCAGGGTCTGAGTTGTCAGAGGCACCTAGGTGGGGTCTGTCTGGGAGTCAGTTAGATGGGCCTGGGTGGAGGTCAAGGCTGAGGCTAGAGTCTGCGGGAGTGATAGTTTAACAGTTATGGGTGGAAGTGAGATTGGTGATGAAGAGGTGAGAGACAAGGTTCTAGAGACAGAACTTTGCTGAATCCTTTGGCTGAGAAACAGTGGGGAGAAGAGGGATCAGAAAAAAGATGCAGACATGGGAGAGTTAGAAGACCACAGAGTGGGGTTGGGAGGGGCTCCAGGACCTCACAGGATAGTGGGGGTTGGTTGACAAGAGGCCAGGATTGGGAATCCTCTGGTGCCGCTCAGGCTGCTCCTGCTCTCGTGCAAGCCTCAGTTGCCTCATCTGTGACATGGAGAGAAGGATGTCCGCCCTTCAGGCCTTATAAGCATCTTTGTGGACCAGTTGAAAGCCAGGCTTTGTCAACCCTAAAGGCATTTGGGAACCTTGGGGATTCTTGAAAGATCAGTAGAGGAAGTCAAAAGGCAGCGACTGTCCCCTGTGTCCCAGTTACTGACTCCCCTGCCTCCACCTTTCTAGGGTGGCTGCGGCAGTTGCTGGACTTTCTCCACCACAGGGGCCCTGGAGTCTGCCATCGCTATAGCCGGAGGGAAGCTGCTATCTTTGGTAAGAAATCAGCCACTGTCTTATTTTCTGCTGAGGTCCCACTTTGCCCCAAGGCATGACAGGAGGTCTGGGAGTAGGGTTTTCAGTGTCCTCTAGGGCTTTAGCTAACAATGCTATTCCATTTGTATATTAAGTGACCCACTGTGTGAACATTTGGAATGAGAGTCTGAATGGATGCCTTTCCCAGAAAGAAATGCAACTTATTTTTTTTGTTATTGTTAATTTTCAGTTTTCAATTAAATCACTGCCTATATGCCACATTTATCTTATTAATACAGAATTTGACAAATTACATATAACTTCATGATCTATGTCCATGATAAAGAAATGCAGCTTATTGAGGAAACAGCCCAGAGGCTCATTTCTGGGTGGGTCTGAGTGTTTCTCAGGGTGGCACCTGGGGCTGTCACCAAGGAGAGAGTCAGAAAAGTAGTTCACCTAGGATGGTCCTTTAGGAACTGTGCCCCTTCCCAAGCCACCTCAGTTGTTTTCATGAAGGGAAGAGCTGGAACCCATGTATCCAATTCCTTGACCTTCCAGAGTGAGGGGTGACAGACTGAAGGAAGTATCCCTGCCCCTACCCCTGCCTACTGGGTAAGGAAGAGAGAGCATGTAGGCCTAGGTTGGCAAGGGCCGTGAGGTCCCTGGGCTGAGGAGAGGTGGAGCAGGGTCTCTAGCTAGGGCAGTCCTCTCACTCAGGACCCCAGAAAGTTCACACCTGTAGGTCCACTCATGTCTCTCATCTGCCGACCAGCTGCCAGGTACTTCCTGAGCCCCTCTCAACATGTCCTGGCTGGGCCTGACACTTCAGGCCATTCTATGACAGCCCCTGCCCTCAAGGAGCTTTGAATTGGGTCATCTTGGCATGACGTTGATTTGGCCAAGTGTGTGGATCAGCATAGGGGGCCCGGTGCCTTGTGCTAACACCTGATGCCCTCCCAGCTTCCAGCTCATTGGGTTCACGTTCATTCCTACAGGCAGAACAGCAGCTGGTGGACTGTGCCGAGGACTTCAATAATCATGGCTGCCAAGGGTATGTCCCTGACTAGGAGGGCCCAAAACCCCTTCTCATTTCTGGTTGGTCACTTCTAGTTCCACTTTGGTTTGCTGAAGAAGGAAACTTAACCATTTATCTAGTGTGTGCTAGGTACCGACAGACATAACCCTGCTCACTGCCCTGGAGGGTAGTAACATTATCCCACTTTACAGAGGAGGAGGTAACCTCACACATCTAGCATCCCACAGCCAGGGGAGGCTGAGCTGGGATCTGAGTCCAGGCCTATCTGGTTCTGAACTCCATCCTCCATCCAATGTACCACTCATCTCTCATTCCACGATGCAGTCAGCTTCACCAGCCACCAAGACCTCTCTGGGTGCATGCATGGCCAGAGGAACAATCACTCATTATTCTCCAAAACTCAGATCCATGCACAGATGTTTGGGGGTCATGATACATGCTGTCTATAGTTCTAGCTGCCTCAGCTGGACAGTCCATGTGAGGGAACTCTTATAAATGTGGTAAATATGTCAATACATATCTTTACTGGGCCTCCTTTCCTGGCCTATTTTTAAATGGGTTGTTAGGAATTTTCACACAATTTCCATTGTCTCCAGCCCTCACTTTTTCTCTGCATTCTGAGCACTCAGATATTTCCATGGGATTCGTCAGATTTCCTGGCAAATAATATGTGTAGAGCCCGGCCATTCATGCTTTCCTAGAGCAAGTGCCCATCCTTGACCCTTCTCTGTCTACCTGTGGCCCATCCCTCTGCCAGACCTCAGCCACACTACTCTTGGTCTCTCTTTTCTTAGAGACAAATCCCATGAAGTCCTCTTACATCTGCCTCCTGCTCTCCACAGCAGCATATAGGAGGGCCTCCTACAGAGAGCTGTGGTCTGGCTGAGTCCTTGGGGCTCAAGAGTGAGGTCATAGCCTACTGATCCACCATCATCTTTGGTCTTATTGCTCACCTGTTTGCTCTCTTATAACCACCCATAATGAGAGTCTGATGAGGAAGCTGTGGGACCCCACTATTTTTCAAGAGTCTGTTTGCTTTGGTTCAAGACAAGAGTTCATTTTTCCATTCATCCAACAAATATTACTGAGGATCTGCTATCCATCTAAGCACTGGGGATACAGCAATCAACAGAACACAGGCACTGACATTCTGTCTGGGTAAATAAGTATATTATTATATACAAAAGCTATGGAGGGAAAAAAATAAATAAAAGCAGGCCTAGGCAGGGGCAGGGGAAATTGTAATGGACTTAGTTGCTAACCAAAAGCTTAGAGGTTCAAGTCTACCCAGAGACACCTCAACAGAAAGACCTGGTGATCTGATTCTGAAAAATCAGCCATTGAAAACCCTGTGGAACTCAATTCTACTCTGACACAGATGGGGTTGCTATGAGTTGGAACTGACTCAACGGCAGCTGGTTTTTATGTGGCCCTGGGCAAGTTATGCAGCATCTTTGACCCTCAGTCATCCCATTTGTAAAATGGAAATAAAAGCCTCTACCACATGGATCCATGGCAATGGTTACGTTTATCACATAGATTGATATGAGAGATCCAGCAATCATGTTTGTAGAGCACCTATCCCAACTGGGTGCCCAATGACAATGAGGGTGAGCTGGCCCCATCTCACTGACCATTGTGACAGCAGGGCCTGGCTTCCAGAGGTCTCTGCCTCACTGAAATATGTGTGCCGCTCCTGTGTCTTCAGTAGCTATGCCTAGGTGTGCTGAGCTTTATTCCAAAGCCAGACAAGTAGTGTTGCCAACTGCCTCCACCACCACCACCCCCGCAAGGTCTCCCAGCCCTGCCCAGGAAACATCTAACCAGCTCCAGTCCTGCCCACTTGCATTAGGGTTGGTCCAGGCAGGCTCATCTGTGTGTGCTTCTTGCAGGGGTCTCCCCAGCCAGGCCTTCGAGTACATCCTATACAACAAGGGCATCATGGGTGAAGACACCTACCCCTACACGGCCCGGGTAATTCTGAGCAGCTTTGGCTCTATCTTGGTCTGCAAAGCCCCCCATCTCCACTCCTACCCTATGGCCTCCTCCCCCAGTCCCTTGAACTTCCAAACTGTCCCTTCTGTGGGACTCTCAAAGCTGTTCTCACTCTTTCCTGAGGTGCCCTTCTTTCCCCTCTCCCATAACCCGCTCTGTTTCTTTTTGGCTCCTCCCTGTCCTGTAAGTATGTACTAGGACACCATCTTCTGGCTTCTTCCCTTGATGCTAGACATAGTAATGTGTCCATGTGGTCAGCCTTTCATGCTGACAACACTCTCCTGAGCCCCATACCTACTAACCGTGCCAAGGGCCTGCCCTGCTGTCACTTTTCCCCAGCCTATCTGTAGCCAAGCCACCTCATCTTTCCCTTACCTGTAATTCCTCCTGGATTTCCCTCTTGGCATGAGCAGTATCAGCCTCCCTCAAAACCTCTTGGCCACCCTGTTCCCTTGACCTAGACCTTCACTTTGGTCAACCCTCTGACCGGCCTAGATCTTCTCACATCTACTCCTTTGGTCCATCCTGTGTCCCTGCCCCCATTCACACTGTGCCTCCCTTCACCCTAGATCAGTGAGGGTGGCCTCCCCTTGGGCCACCCACTGCACTTGGTCTGCCAAAGTAGCCTCTCAAACCCAGCTGTGACCATACCCTTGCCTTATTCTGAACTTTCCAAAGGCTCCTCAAGGCCTGCCTACAAAATGAAATCCAAACTCTTTGGCCTGCCCTTCAAGGCCCTCCCCAACCCCACCCAAACCAGTCTTTCCTGTGTTATCTTCTTGAACTCTGCCCCTCATAAATAGTATGCTCCAGCCAAGCCATTTGCTGGTTCCTGCCTCTCTTGGGTCCTATCTCTTGTCTTCTTTATCTTCCAAGTGACCCTGTCTCCATGCCTGCCTCTCGTCAGCTCTGTTCCCTATACTGAATATCCCCCTCCCTCTTCCCTACCATTTTTTCAGCAAGTTGCCCTGCTGGGTTAGGCCCTTTCCCACATTCACAACAAGTGCTTTGCTCACTTCTGTCAAAGCTTCCACTAGACTGAGCTCCCTGAAGACTAGGATGGCTCTGACTATCCCTTAACTGACCCGTCACCCAGTCTGGGTCTGATACATGTAGTCTTTGCTTAGTAAATGTTAACAGCCTGCATGGGCAGTCCTAAAACCTCAGCGTGGGCTAAACAGCTCTATCCTGCTCTCTATGCTCTTTTCTCCCCTGAACAGGATGGTGTCTGCAAGTTCCAACCCAAGAAGGCCATTGCATTTGTCAAGGATGTGGCCAACATCACACTCGTGAGTACTGGATCCTTCTCCCAAATGGGGAATGTGTTCTGATAAGAAAACCAGGCTCCCCAGCAGTCAGATGGCCAATAGGCCAGGCAGGGCAGCCTTCCTGGCAGCACATCACTTTGATTTAATAAGTTTTGACTATAACTGAGTATCAGTCACCATGAGGGCAGCATGGTGGACAATGAGAGGGAAAAAGCATGGGACTGGTGGTCAGATGCTCCAGTTTTGACTCCACTTCTGTGCCAGACTTCATTTTTGTATTTCTGTTTTTATGTCTATAATACACAAATAATAATCCCCATCCCATGTATGTAATGTTAGCATGTATGTGTAGGGGTTGTATGAGTGATTGAATAAGCTTGTGAATGTGTATCACTTAGGATATACTAGATTTTGCTGCAGTAATAAACAGCCCCAAAATCTGAATAGCTGTTCAAGGTTTATGTTTCATTCATGCTACGTGCCCATCAGCTTAGCTAGGGCTATGCTCTGTGTCCTCTGTCTCACCTAGGACCCAGGCAGGAATCCCCAGTTTGTGCAAACAGTCAAGCATTCAACTACTAACTGAAAGGTTGGCAATTCAAACCCACCCAGAGGCACCATACACAGGAAGACAGGTGTGGTGATCTGCTTCCTAAAGGTCACAGCCTTGAAAACCCTAAGGAACAAGTCTACTCTGTACACATGGGGTCACCATGAATCAGAAGCAGTGATAACTAATAACAATAGGACCTACGCAGAGGGTAAATTATGTCTTGGCTCTTAAAGCCAAACAAGTAACAGAGTTGCAAGTGGATGGAGAGTTGCACTCCTATCTATTCTGAGAGCTGGAACATTTATGAACAGTCCCCATGACTCCCATGTGGAAGTGTGGGAGGGTGTGTATAGAAGGTCAGTATCTCCATGAGTATGTGTCAATGTTATGTGTGCAGATGAGCACATGAAGATAAGCCTATGTGTGCCCACAAGTGTATGTGCAATTCACAAACATGATGTGTATGTAATAACTGTAGCTAGCACTTAATTGACACATGTGCCAAGCTCTCAGCAGTAATAACAGCAGCAGAACCTGACATTGTTTCATCCTATTGTACATAGGGTTGCTGTGAGTCAGAACCAACTCCTTGACACCTAATAACAACAAGTTTATGGAGTGCTTATAGGCACTATGCCAACCCCTTAACATCTCTCCTCTAGACTTAAAATAATCCAATAAGTGTCATTATTGCCTTAATTTTATAATAAGGAAGCAGAAGCTCAGAGTGGTTGAGTAACTTCCTAAGGCCACAGAGCTAGGAAGTGAAAGCTGGGTTTAGACTGAAATGATGCCATGCCCAAACCAGGGCTCATTGTCCCAACAGTATACAACCTACACCCTGTTAATAGAAATGTTACTGACTATCACGAATTTATCTTCAGAAAATAGCCATTTATCTTTCAAACACACCTACCAAGGGCTGGCCTGCTCTGAGAGGTGAATCAGAGGCAATCCCTTTTGCCCGGTCCTCACGAGAGCCTTGTGGGTGACACCCATAGGGCCTTTGAGGGCTCAGCTAGGACCAGGGCAGCTGTGGGAGTAGTGCTGGCCCCACAGCAGTGCCCACCCCCTTGGTGGACAGGTCTGTCTTGTCTCAGAGCTGACTTGACCCCTCTGGGCTTCATAGGGTCTTTTCTGAGCATGCAGAGAAGGGAGCCACTTGCTTGCATGCAGTTCAGTTGTTTGCCTTTTGCAGCTGAATTTCTTTCCACTCCTCCAGAGAATGAGAACTAAGGAGGGTTGGGTACCCTGTACCCTCCAGCACTTCCCTTCCCTTCCACAGAATCCTGGTCTCCGCTCACAAAACCTCCAGCTTATTTCAGCCCTTCAAGGCCTCCAGCCAGGGGAGTGGCTTCATTGGCTCACTCTAAGCCTGTTGTTCCCAATTTCGAAGTTTTAAAAAGTACTGCTGCCAGGGACTCACCCTGTAGATTCTGACGTAACTGGTTTGGGGTGCACCCTGGGCATCAAGACTTTTTTAAGCCTCCCAGAAGGTTCTAACATGCAGCCAGGGCTGAGAAGAGTGTTCTCACTTAATCATTACAGCCTCCAAACTTCTTTGGTTTCTTCCCAGAGGCCTTCCCCACCTGAAAATGCTACTCAGATGGTACATAGCCCTTTGCTGGGTTACCAGCCAAGTCTTAGTTACCTAATGCTGTTGTAACACAAATACCACAATGAGAGGCTTAAAAGTACAGGAATTTATTTTTCAGAGTTCTGGAGGTTAAATCAGGGTCGTGGCCATGTTGATTTCTTCCTTTGGTAGCCCTGGGCATTCCTTGGTTCCTTGGGGTTCCTTGGCTTGTAGATGACCCTCACATGACATCTGTATTCTCCTGTGTGGTGTCTAATCTGCACTTTCTGTAACTCATAAGTGATTAGCTTTACAACCCACACTACTCAGGTATCACCTAATTTACTTAACAAAACCCTGGGTCCAAATGGGATTCTAACACATATTATCTGGGGACATAATTCAATCCATAACACTGGGTCTCCACTTGTTTGCCCCACATTCTGAGTCTTTTTTATTCATGTACTTATAACCCTCATGCTCTCTCAACAAAGCTCTGTAGAATGGCTTTATGGATACAGGGACTCCTGGGGGTAGGAGTGCTGATCCTTCTGAGCCCTTGACTCATGAGAGGACCTCAGTGAATGATTGGAAGTGACTGAACGAGCAGACCCACACTGCACTTCGCAATCCCGGTCCTAAAGATTGCAAGGCTTCCAAGGAGCAGCGTTGGGGAGGAGGAAGAATGATGTCCATACAGAACCAGGCTAGCTAGGGGAGGGAGGTTACAGGGGAGCAGTTTGGTTTGGGGGAGCTCTGGTGGTGTAGTGCTTAAGGCGTTTGACTGCTAACCAGAAGGCTGGCAGTTCAAACCCACTCCTCAGAAGGAAGATTGGGTAATCTACTTCTGTAGTGATACTGCCTTGGAAACCCAAGGAGGGGTCACTATGAGTCGGATCAGCAGTGAGTTTTTTAATCTGGTTTGGGAAGAGGGACTTATAAGGTAAATATAAACAGAGGATCCTGACCATTCAGGCACAAGAAAGTGGGGCTTCTCTCACCAGTGCCCAACTCTCAACTCCCAGGCTCTGCTGCAGAGGAGGGGCAGCTTGCCTCCTAGTGGCTGCTGTTTGGTTGAAACTATCTTCTCTCTGTAATGGATGAACATCTACATTGCTTTGGGCTTCTATCCCCTACCTTGGGGCAAAAGGCCATATTTCGAAAGTAGTATGAAGATGTGACAGAGGCTATATATGTCTATCCATCTGTCCCTCTGTCTGTCCACAGAATGATGAGGAAGCGATGGTGGAAACTGTTGCCCTGTACAACCCTGTGAGCTTTGCCTTCGAGGTGACAGAAGATTTCATTCAGTACAGGAAGGGCATCTACTCCAGGTGAGCCGAGATCCCAAGAGCCAGGAGGGAGAATGGCAGGGGGCTACCTGAGCCTCCCCACAGCAGGGGCATGGGACTCAGGCTCAGCCCAGACTGCTGGTGACACCATTTCTTGACACCTACCACATATTGGACATTTGACACATTCCCTCAGTTAATTCTGGTGCAGCCCTGGGGGATCAAGAGGCATGGTCACCATCTTACAGAAAAGAGAGCTAATCAGAAGAGATGTGACAAACCTAAGCCACATGACTAAACAGAGGTAAGGCCAAAATTTGAGCCCAGGGCTCTGTCTTCCTCAATAGAAGAGCTGCCTCCAATTAAGAAAACTCAGGTCCCAAAATCTGAAGACATGAAATAAGGAAGAGAAAGTAGCTGCTCTCAAACACCAGAACCCTTTGCTGAAGGTTCCACCACAGAGTTCTTTTATTATTATTTTTATTGTGATTTGGGTGGAAATTTACAGAACAAATTCCCTTTCCATACAGCAGTTCACATACACTTTGTCTCTTGACTTTGACCACAATTTACCACAATGCAACAGCTCCCCTCCCACTTCCTCTGGATAATTACCTCTTCCCTGTGCCCATCCTTCCATGCACAGAGTTCTTTAGAAAAACCAAGCTCCTTGGCACTTGATGCTCCCTGACTTCTCAGAGTCCCCTTTATGGTGTCTTCATTTTCTAGTTAGCCCTGATGTGCTCAGCCCTCTTTCTTCTTCTCACTGATAGACTCTCTTCCTGGTCCATTGCAGCTGTGCCTTTAACTCCATGACCAAATGTTTGTATAGAATCTCCAAGTCTCCATCTGCCAGCCTGGTTTCTGATGAGCATTAGACCCACAGATCCAAGGGTCCTCCCCCCACCGACATCTCAACCTGGGTAGCACATATTAAAAAAAAAAACACTACCATCGAGTCGATTCCAACTCATAGCAACCCCCATTGGGTTTCCAAGGTGGTAAATCTTTACAGAAGTAGATTGTTTCATCTTCCTTTCATGGAGTGGCTGGTGGGTTTGAACCACCAAGCTTCTGGTTGGCAGTCAAATGCCTTAGGCACTGTGCCACCAGAGCTCCTTGAAACCGCAAATCTCCCCCAGCCCCAGATCTTCCTCTCCTGGGTTCCATCTTGGTTAGTGAGATCACCATCCCTGCTGCTGCACAAGTGAAAGCCAGACGCATGCTGAAAACCCCTTCTCTCCATCTTCCCCCACAAGTCCCACAGATACTGCCCCAGTCACATTGCTCAAATCTCTCCTCTCCTCTCCCACCCCGTGTCTCTGCCCTTGGCCACCATCACCCTTTCCTGGTTTGTCTTTGTCTACCACCACCACCCGTCCTCCCTCCACTAAGAACCAGAGTCACATTCTGAAACATTTTTCTTGTCACACCAACTTTAAATACTCTAGTGTCTCCCCATCACCTTCAGGATAAAAGTCCAGTGTTTAGCTTGGCTGGGAGGACCCTCATGAGTCTGATCCTTCCTATTTCTCCAGCTGTCACCATCAAAACCCACTCATTCCATCCTGCAGCCCTCACCCCAGCTGCACCAAAGAGTTTGTTGCTTCATACTTGTACCCATGCCTTTTTAGGGAAGCCTTCCTTGACCCCACTGGGTTGGAGCTGCCTCCTCAGGGATCTCATAGTCCTCCCCAATGTTACAGCCTTGTCCCCTATATAGAAGTAGCCTCCTTGACCTCCTTGACTTCCCTGCAGAAGCAGAGTTTTGCAGGGCTTGCCTTAGGCCTGGCAAATGCTCATAACAGTCCACATCCACTGAATTAATACATGACTCAGGCAGTTGATTCTCTTGAATTTCCTCATGGAAACTAGTTCACTATCACAAATTGAAAACCTGTATATTTCCCATTGTCTTAGTTCTCTAGTGCTGCTCTAATAGAAATACCACAAGTGGATGGCTTTAACAAACAGAACTCCTCACAGTTTAGGAGTCTAGAAGTTCAAATTTAGGATGTTAGCTCTAGAAGAAGTCTTCTCTCTCTGTTGGCTCTGGAGGAAGATCCTTGTCTCTTTTCAACATCTGTAGGCCTGGCATCCCTTGGAGATTTCCATGTGTCTTAGTATCAATCTTCTCCTGGGGTTAGGAGCTTCTCAGCACAAGGACCCTGAGTCCAAAGGACATGCTTTGCTCCCAGCTCTTCTTTCTTGGTGGTAACCTTATAAGATAAAAGCTGATGCAGGATAAACCCCAGGGAAATTCCCCTTATATATAATCAGGGCTTTGACCTGCTTAAGCGTATTGCATCCCACCCTAGTCCCCTTACCACTGATTGTCTAAGTATATCATGGGAGATGATTAGATCTTTACATATTACATCAATACATAACTGCCAAACCACTGAGTATCATGGTCCAGCCAAGTTGACACATATTTTAGGGGAACACAATTCAATCCATGACAGCTATAAATAGAAATTAATATTAAAAATGAATGCAATGGCAACACAGCATTGCTATTTTAAGTTCTATATGGACACTGTTGCCTGCAGAAGGTGGAGCCTGAGGCCTGCTCTGTCCTGGTTATTAAAGAGTAATTAGAAAGAGTGAGGTGTTAAAGACAGGTTAGGACCACGCTGAGACTTTCCCTTCGCTGGAGCAGAAGAAACCAAAAATACCAAGCTCACTGCCATTGAGTTGATTCCAACTCTTTAGCGACCCCATTTGGGTTTCCAAGGCATAAATCTTTATGGAAGTAGATTGCCCCATCCTTCTTCCAAGGAGTGCTGGTGGGTTTGAACCACCAACCTTCTAGTTAGCAGTCAAATGCCTTAGGCAGTGCACCACCATAGCAGAAGAACTGCCCACTAAAATCCACTACCATCAAGTAGATTTTGACTCACAGTGACCCTATAGGGCAAAGTAGAACTGCTCCAAAGCTGTAAATTTTTAGAGAAGCAGATTGCCTCATCTTTCTCCTGTGGAGCGCTGGTGGGTTCAAACCACTAGCTTTTTGGTTAGCAGCTGAATGCTTTAACCACTATGCCACCAGAGCTCCTTGAGCAGAAGAACTTGAAGAACTAAATTCTCTCATATTCTGGTTAAGTGATAGTTAACTTACCACCATGAATGTCTCCCAGTCTGTCCTTGGGAAAACATTGCTCTAAAGTACAAGGAGAACCAATGTTGAGTGTAATTTAGTCATTGCCTTTATCTTTTCCTATATTGTCAACCTTTGTTTATTTTTGTTGTACAGTACTTCCTGCCATAAAACTCCAGATAAAGTGAACCATGCAGTATTGGCTGTTGGGTATGGAGAAGAAAATGGTATACCCTACTGGATTGTGAAAAACTCCTGGGGTACCTACTGGGGGATGGATGGGTAAGCAACTTCAACGTACCATATGCCAGGGGGTGGGGGTGGGGTTGTTCAAGTCTGGAGGACATCTCTCTTACCTCAAGGGTACAGCTTCCAAGGGCCTTTCAGGGAGCTGGTCAGCTGATCCCTTGCCCAGACCAAGGAGAGAGAAAGTCTGAGAATGTAACCACCACACCCTCAAAGACCCATCTTAGTAACTCCTTCCCTGTCTGGGATCTCAAGTCTTAATGAGTCTGTATTGAGAACAGGTGTCCATTTGGCTCATTAAGAGCTGTCATCACTGCTAGAAACACAGTTCACACACAGACCCTGTTAAAACTAAGTCAACCTCTGGGAAAGTCCATTTTTGGAAAGTTTATCACTGATCCCTAACAGTACCTCCTTCAAGAAGAAAGGGGCTGGAATTGAGGGACTATGGTGTACATCCTGATGTGACTTTGACCATGTCTCTCCTCTTAGACTCTGCGACCTCATCTGAAAAAGAGAGTTTTAATTGTTACCTCAGTTAATGATTCGTGATGAATAAATAACTACATGAGGGCTTCTGTAGCCAGAGCCATGAAAAGGGACCTCAGTAAATTCTGGAGAAAAGTAGGGGTCTGGGTAGATAGGAAAGACAGGTGATTTGGCAGCCAAAGAGAGAGAGGGATAAATTATTTATAAAGTCAAGTCAGTAATTTCCTAGTGAAAAGCCCCAACACTACTGTTTTATGAATAAGTTCAGAACATATAATCCTGAGTTAGACCTTGGTGAGCAGGAAAACAGCAGAAAGGCCCATGGTATGTGAGTCACAAGCTGGGCCTCAGCTCCCTCTCTCTGCCCAGGTACTTCCTCATTGAGCGAGGGAAGAACATGTGTGGTCTGGCCGCCTGTGCCTCCTACCCCATCCCTTTGGTGTGAACACGGACAGCAGCAATGACTGGTTGGCACAGAAGTGAAGGAACTGGCAGCCAGGATCATTCAGTGAAATGCTGCCTTGGAGGAAGTAGTGGGGAGACCCACTCAGGGGCATGCCACTTTCCCTCCTTACTCACCACTGGTGCCAGGCCTGCAACCCGTAAGCAAACCAAGAAGAATTCCACCAAACAACCTCATCTGAATCTCCTGGTACAAAGATGAGTAGAGTCCTCCCTCAGTCTGTGGGGAATTGGTTCCTGGACCATCCACCTTCCCCCCTTCCCCATGTCCTTACCACTCCTCCCATACCAAAATCCATAGATGTTCAGGTCCCTTATATAAAATGGCATAGTATAACCTACCCACATCCTCCTATGTAATTTAAATCATCTCTACATTACTTATGATACCTCATATAGTGTAAATGCTATGAAAATAGCACTTCATGCTCCCTTTTAGCCTTTGAGAGATTGCTTTGACCACTTAATTGCTTTTTTTTTCCCCCTGGAATATTTTCTATCCGTGGTTGGCTGAATCTGTGTATGCAGAACCCACAGATGTGAATGGCTGACTGTACTAGCCAGCTGCCTTAAACTGGTCTTCAACTGATCCAAACCCATATGGACAGAATGTTTCTTCCCAGGATGCTACTTTTCACATTTGGAGAGAGCTCCATGACTGGTGCAGACTACTTTTGCTGTGTTCTTTATTCAATAAACATTCAGTGAGCATCTCCCCAAACCTGGCCTGTGCTGCATGCATGACCCAGACAGGACTCAAACTTAGGCCTGCTGAGGCAGGACTCATGGTCCTCCATGAGGGCAGCACCAAGGGATTGCTTGGGTCTCTGGCTGGGACAATGATGTGGGTGCTGGTGTTACTGCCAGATGGAGTCCCCAGGAGGAGAAGCAGGTTTAATTTGAGATTCTAACCATTTATCCCAAACTCGGGTGACGAAGTGGAATAAGGAAGGAAGAAATGTACCAGGTTCTGGCAGAGACAGGACTCAAACTCACAACAGGGGCTTGGAAGCCTGTATTTCTCCATGAGAACTCTCCAGACTTAGCTTCCTGACTCAAACTCCAGCCCTCTGCCTGGGGCTGGCCCCCATCCCTTGCTCACCAGCCCCTTCCTTTGAAGGAGCCTGCATGCTCTCATCCTCTCAATACCATCTCTTCTCTTTTGAGGGCTGGCATGAAGTTGCTGCTTAATGAGGCCTCTGGGCTCTGGGGAGCACTATCAATAGAACAAGTTGGAATTCTGTTCTTTGCCCTGGAGTTCACAGATTTCCTTATTGGAAAGCCTTTCATTTTATGTGGGCCTGCTGGAGACTTAAAGGCTTGGGAATATTTGAAAAACTATTTCATTTTGATAACAAGGCTTATTTAGAAAATGCAAGTGTGGTTTTATTTATTAAGACAACTTTAATCAAGTAAGACAAAAAAAAAAAAAAACTCATCTTAATAGAGACATAAATTCGGTGAAAGTCATTGCCTATTAGGATTTGTAAAAACCTAACATGAAATGAGAGAGCTCTGGTGGCATAGTGCCTAAGACATTTGACTGCTAACCAGAAGGCTGGTAGTTCAAATCCACCAGCCACTCCTTGGAAGGAAAGTTGGGCAATCTACTTCCATAGAGATACTGTCTCGGAAACCCAAAGAAGGGTTGCCATAAGTCGGATCTGAGTCGACGGCAGTGGGTATTTTTTAACATGAAATGAAAACAATTCCTTAATATGATAAAGACTCCAAAGTCAGTGGTCAATGGTGCAAAAGCAGTTCCACTGTAAGCAGGTATGTCACAAAAAGTCCTGAGCTCTCCACTAGTACTTAACATCCATCTGGAACCTGATAATTGACTCTGCTTGCCAAGGACTGCATGGGCAACCACACCAGTGGCTGGTGACTGGAAAGTAACCATGCTCACACAATTCAACTATACCTGCACCTCCTGCCACCCCATCCACTAAGCAAGGGCCACTACCTTCTTCTGCACCAACTTATCAATGATAGATGGTGGCCACTACCAGCTAGACCTATCCTCAGCTGCTCTGCATGAACGGAAATCACTGCACACATTCTCATTCTCTATCACATCCACCAAGAGACAGATGGCAAGTGCCTAAGTGCTGCCAAATTAGTGAACAGAGAGTAGCACACCAGCCTGGCTTGCTTGGATATATTAAAGCAGAAAAAAAAAAAAACCTGGGCAAATCACATCAATGTACAATCACCAATTAAATATAAATATAACAACATCAGAATGTCTCAGAGAAACTGACAATCCCAGTTCACACTGGGAACCAAAATAAATTAATATAAACAAGTAATATGAATATGGAGCCAGAAGACCTTCCTGAGGAAGAAATGGCATTGGAACTACCTAAAAAAGGAATCCCTGATGAGGAATTCAAATGAATTATATTAGGTATCTTCAATGGATTGAGAGACAGATCAGGGAAAACAAAATTAAGGAAAAACTCAAGCAATTTAGGAAAACAAGAACAGACAAAATAAATGAAAATTAAAAACCATCCAAAAACAGCAAATAGAAATCCAGAACATCAGTACTAAGATTCCAGAAATAGATAACATATAGAAAGGGCAAAGGAGTAGAATCAGATCAATGGAAGACAGAACTAGTGAACTGAAGACAAATCTCTCAATTCTACTTTGTTAATGGGACAATCAGGAAAAGAGGTTTTTTTAAAAATGAAGAAAGCCTAAAATTTATGTGGGGCACCATCCAAAAAGGTAACTTATGTGTGATCAGAATTCCAAAACAGGAAGAAACAAAACCACAGAAAATAGTCAAAGACTTACTGGAAGAGAACTTCCCTAATATGATGAAAGATGAGAAGATGTGCATTCAAGAAGTTCAATGAACCCCAAACAGGATAGATCCCAAAAGAAAATCACTAAGACATACTATAATCTTGTGCCAAAAGTGTGTGACCATTAGGGCAGCATTGAGGATGAGAAAGACATAGAGAGGTACATGGGAGGTACAGACAACAAATATGAACCCTTTTGTACATACAGTACTGCATTGTCAATGAAGGCAAACATGGGTATATGGGTGGACAGGCTGAATGATTAGGTATGTCTGTGAAATGGGGAGGGTATCCAAGAACATATATGGGGTTGGCAGACAATGCTCCTATAAGTTTATTTGAATGATCAGAATTCCCAGGTGTATAGTAGAGCTGACAAGGGGCAAGGTTGTGGTCACTGCTTGGTCACAGCCAGCTACCCAGAGGGACCAAGTGGTTGAACCTGCGGGCTTGGGACCATAGTTGCAGGGAACATCAAGCTCAATGGGCATAACATACTATACAAAACATTGTTCCACCTCCTACTTTGGTGAGTAGTGACTGGGATCTTAAAAGCTAGCAAGCTGCCATCTAGATGCAACAATGGGTCTCTCCTCGTCCAGAGCAAAGAAGAATGAAGAAAACCAAAATTCATGAAAACAATCCTAGCCACTGGTACACCATCCGACCTGCAGCCTATACGACCATGAGACCAGAAGAACTAGATGGTACCCGGCTACCACTGTCATCCACTTGGAAGGGGATCTATATAGGAGATCCTTGATAGAGAGGCAGAGCAATGTAGAACAAAACTCAAAATGATTTGGAGGGGAAAAAAAAAAGAAGATGGGGACCAGGTTTGCTGATCCGATAGAGCCTGGTGGAACCACTGAGATTATGGCCTCTAGCTGCCCTTCAGGTCTGGTTTCCAGCCAAACAAAAGACAGGCATATGAGTTGAACATTTACCTCAAGTAGATACACTCCTTGGAGAGAACAATCATGGGAGAAAGAAGGGCTGCTTATGCACAGGGAGACAGCTCAGGGGGCAGGAGTGTATGGAGGGATGGACACTGGGAAGAGGTAACTGTGGGGAGGAGGTGGGAGGGGAACTGTTGCATTGTAGTAAACTGGCCAACGTCATGAGACAAAGTATATGTGAACTGCTGTATGGAAAGTGAATTTGCTCTGTAAATGTTCACCCAAATCACAATTAAAAAAGAAAAGAAAAGACATATCATAATCTAAGTTTCCAAAACCAAAGACAAAGAATCCTGAAAGCAACATGGGAAAAACAAAATGTTAACTACAAAGGGCAACCAAAAAGACTAAGCTCTAATCTCTTGGCAGAAACCATGCATGTAAGAAAGCAGTGGGGTGACATATATAAAACTTTGAAAGAAAAAGCTGCCAACCAAAAATTATATACCCAGCAAAATTTTCCCTCAAATATGATGGTGAAATTAGGACATTTCCAAATAAACAAACTAATGGGATTTGTTAAAACCAGACTAACCTTACAAAAGATGCTAAAAGGAGTCCTTCAGACAGAGAACCAACAACAGCAGACAACAATTGATGATTAACATGATAACCCAGAAGTATCCAAAGTAAAAAACTTACAAGACTGGAAACAAAGACCCAGAGATATCAATTGGTAAATGAAAATAACCATAAACCAAAAGGAGGGAATAAATAAAATAATGTAGGTACAGAACTTGCCAAAGGAGAAGACATCAAGACAATTTTGAGATAGAACTGACTGTTTTAAACTTGGGAATAAGATAATAAATTACAGGATAACCTCAAAGAAAATAAGCCTCATCAAAATAAAAAAGAGGAAAGGCACAAATATTTGGTGAATACGAAAGCAATAGCAAGAAAGGAAATGACTTAAAAATCCATAAACAAAATGAGCTCAGACAGAAAAGTATATGAAATAAAGAAATAAGCAACACTATAAAAAAAAAAAATAAAATAACAAAATGAGAGCAGTAACTTCATTTCTGTCAGTAATTACACTAAATATAAATGGGTTAAATGCAGCAATTAAGAGACAGTGGCAGAATGGATAAGAAAGCATGACCCATCAATATCCTGTCTACAAGAGACACACCTTAGACACAAAGACAAAAAAAGACTAAAAATTAAATGTTGGAAAAAAATATATCACACAAATGGCAATCAAA